AGAAAAATATGCAAGCGAACATGTATTTTCCACCAGGTAGGCGGTGTTGCTTGTTGTAATAGCAACCAAAGTCCTTGTGATGGCGCAGCTGTAAAAAAAATTCTGAGTAATAGACACATATGCTGACACACAGTTGAAGCGTAACCGAGATCCATCGAAGTTCCACACGAATTTTGTAAAAACTACGAGGATCTGCCATTTCTGCAGATTAAGGTGCACAGTTGTTTGCTCTTCGTAGCATTAATCATCTATTCAAGGTGTCCAAATGGGACACTAGAAAGCTATACAGCTTCCTCACCTGAGTGTCCCATGGCGATAACGACGCTATGATGCTGTTCCCGTTCCGCTCTGCTTCAAATGTGACTCTATCGAGCTTCGCATACTGCAAAAACGTCACGGTGTTGTTGAAGCTTTTTGAGCTCTTTCTTACCAAATCTCCCGCCTTTTGCTTGAAATGATCTTCGCCATCTAAGAGGTGATGTATAGCCAACCGTTCCCCCTCGCAGTTGTAGCGCAACTGAAAGTAGCATACACATGCCTGCAAAAATGAAAGATGAGCCCAAATCCCAGCTCACCGAATCCGGATATTTGAATATTGCTGTCGTCACGCTTGCATACAACAATCTGCGATCTTCCTTGCTGAGAGCACGCGTCAACTCCTTGCAGTCAGGCACATCCTCCACAACTCCATCGACAGCACGTGCGAAAACTATGAGCTGGAAAATGAAGAACGGAGCTGCCTTGGTGATGGATTTACCGGTTGGACTTACACTTAGAAAAGCTTTGATTGATGTAGCCATCGAAGATTCACTAGCAACGATGTCTACCACCCATGCACCATTTTATATTGTTTGCGCATGGAATCCTTCATATGAGTTAACATCGGTCGCCACAAAGACTTCATTGTCATCAGTATACGATCTGCACTTTTGAAAGGATGCGTATTATTATCAACATAGCGCAATCCTGTCAAACTGGCAGATAAATACTAATGAACTGATCAAGCGCTTTGATTGCATTGAAACAATTATTCCATGAAAAGG